TACAGCTTGTACCCTACTCACAGTCGTATTAAGACGATCACTCGCTACGCCGACTCGATCGATCGCACTGCATACCGCGCGCGCCACAAAATTAACAAACGGCCATCTAACTCCTACAGGAGGTTGAATGTCATGCCCTGGAAGTTGCTCCTTCTCCCGTTTACGATTAACCCCAATGGCAGTTCTGAGCTGTGGTCTGCGACCTCAACTTCCCGTGAAAAAGTAGATTTTCCACGTACACCTTATCCATTCCCTTACTTGCCACCACCGATACGCTAGTACTATAACAACCACAACACTCATCAACAACTTTTACTGTGAAAAGGGAGAAGAATAGACGTACCGTGTACAGAGACCAGGTACACAGATAAGGAAACGTAGCGAGGTGATGTTACTACTGATGCCTTTACCAATACTTCAGCTGTCGATAATGTCACATGATGAATACGACAATTGTAAAACCAACAGCACACTATGCTCCAGCAATAGTCACAAACACCCCTGAGGTAATCAACACATCTTTACTCTTATCAACTATACGTGTTTAATCAGAGTCGGAGTCGTCGTCATCGGCGAAGGTGGTCTTATGGCCAGCGAACTCCTGGATGGTTCCCCGGGCGGAAGCGGCAATTCCGGAACCCTTGCCCTTACCCTTGCCACCTTTACCCTTTCCCTTGCCCTTTCCCTTGCCACCCTTTCCTTTTCCCTTGCCACCCTTTCCACTCGACTCGCGAGGCTGGTTGTAGTTAACCCGGATCTGTCGGCCCTCAAGGTCAGTGCCACTAAGTTTAGTAGCATTCTCAGCAGAGTCCTCAGTGTCAAAATCGATATAGGCGAAACCACGGGGATTGCCAGTCTCCCTATCAGTAGGCATAAAGCAACGAGTGATGCTTCCGCAGTCACCGAAGACCTCATAAAGCCAGTCCTGGGTCATGGACCAAGGCAAGTTACCGACAAACACCGAGGCAGACTTCTCGCCAAGCTCATGATGGCCCTTGCCCTTACCCTTGCCGCCCTTGCCCTTACCACCATGGGCATTGTCGTTCTTGGGGAAGCTGTAGTTGATACGCAAGTCGCGGCCCTCACAGTCCTCACCATTCTTGCCGACAGCCTTCTCAGCGGAGTCCTCATCAGCGAAGTCGAGGAAAGCAAAACCCTTGATCTTGCCGCTCTCCCAGTCAGTGGGGATGCTCACTCTTTCAATGTCACCACACCAGCTGAAGATCTGCTCGAGCCACTCCTTTGTCATAGAGAAAGGCAAGTTGCCAATGAACACAGACTTGGACCTTTCGACAGACTCCTGGGCGGAACCGTCGTTCATCTTGGCCCTCTTCGGAGCGGGAGCCTCGTCCTCCTCAGTAGTGGCCTCAGAAGCAGCACGCTTGCCAGTGGGGGCTTGCTCCATCTCATCATCTGACACAAAGAGACAATCCATCACTAGCAAGAAGGGGACCTCCACACCTACCAGAATCCTCACTCTCTTCCTCCTCAGCGGCAGCAGCGGCCTTCACCTTCTTGGGGGCTTCCTCCTCCTCATCATCACTGTCACTATCGCTAGAGTCGGACTCCTCAGCCTTCTTAGCAGCGACCTTCTTGGCCGCTGGCTTGGCGTCCTCCATCTCCTCGTCCGAATCAGAGTCGCTAGAGCTTGACTCCTCAGCAGCGGCCTTCTTCACAGCGGCCTTCTTGGCAGCAGGCTTCTTGGCAGGGGCCTCATCCTCACTAGAGTCGGAGTCGCTGGAGCTTGATTCCTCAGCAGCGGCCTTCTTGGCGACCTTCTTAGCAACAGGCTTCTTGGCAGGGGCCTCATCCTCACTAGAGTCGGAGTCGCTAGAGCTAGATTCCTCAGCAGCAGCCTTCTTAGCAGGGGCGGCCTTCTTAGCAGCAGGCTTCTTGGCAGGGGCCTCATCCTCACTGGAGTCGGAGTCGCTAGAGCTAGATTCCTCAGCAGCAGCCTTCTTAGCAGGGGCGGCCTTCTTAGCAGCAGGCTTCTTGGCAGGGGCCTCATCCTCACTGGAGTCGGAGTCGCTAGAGCTAGATTCCTCAGCAGCGGCCTTCTTAGCAACGGTCTTCTTGGTGGCGGCCTTCTTAGCAACAAGCTTCTTGGCAGGGGCCTCATCCTCACTAGAGTCGGAGTCGCTGGAGCTAGATTCCTCAGCAGCGGCCTTCTTAGCAACGGTCTTTTTGGTGGCGGCCTTCTTGGCAGGGGCCTCATCCTCACTAGACTCGGAGTCGCTAGAGCTAGATTCCTCAGCAGCGGCCTTCTTAGCAGGAGCAGCCTTCTTAGCAACGGGCTTCTTCTTCTCCTCCTCATCATCACTGGAGTCACTGCTTGAGTCGGACTCCTCAGCAACGGCGGCCTTCTTAGGAGCCTGAACAGCAGGCTTTGCCTCCTCTTCCTCATCATCACTAGACTCAGAGCTCTCAGCCTTTTTAGAGGCTAGCCGAGCCTTAGCATTGGCAACAGCCTTAGCAGAAGGCATATCACTAGCATCAGAGTCAGAGTCGCTAGAATCGGAAGAATCAGAATCCTCATGAGCAACTACCTTCTTAGCAGGAGTAGCCTTCTTGGCCTTCTTAGCAACAGGCTTCTCGTCCTCACTAGACGACGAAGAATCGTCATCGCTCGAGCTGGACTCCTTAGCAGCAGCAGCGGCAGCAGCCTTCTTAGTAGCGGCCTTCTTAGTAGCGACCTTAGCGACCTTCTTAGCAGGGGCAGCTTCCTCCTCATCGTCACTGCTACCCTCATCAGAGCTGGATGATGTCTCAGGGGCGGCCCTCTTGGCAGGGGCGGCCTTCTTAGGGGCAACGGCCTTCTTCTTAGCTACAGTCTTCTTGGCCTTAGGCGGGGGTGCCTCATCCGCCGAAGAATCCGAGTCGCTACTGCTGCTACTGTCCTCGACAACAGGCTTCTTCTCAACCTTCTTTTTAGCGGCGACCTTCTTCTTATGTACAACAGGCTTGGTGACCTGAACCTCCTCATCAGATGAGGACTCGTCACTGGAAGACTCGACGACCTTCTTAGGCGCGGGCTTGGCCATGACTTATACGTATAGGAACTAACCACAACCACACAGGTGTGAGTGAAGATCCGAACAACCTATGCCCGACCCCAAGGGGACTTCCACTGAGAACCATCACGAAAAATATACTCCATAGCTTATACACTATCCGGGGAATGGTAATCAGCAATTACGTGGCGCAGTGAAATGTCGTGAGGCGGAGCGAAGCGGTGCAAAAAGTGCACTTTTCAACAGAATTCGCACTTTCGCCATTGTGGCCTCCTCATGGCCAAGACACGACCTGTTGGTCACTAGCAGAGTCCTTCGACTAACATTCGATCGAAGTACACCCCTACACTTGAGCCACTGAAAACTTGCACGCATGCACACGTGCGTGGAGTATGTCTATTCTGATCGAGACGAAGCGCACTAAACGCAAGGCAGATTCCTTGGAGTTAGAAATCGCAGGTACGGGAGCTACTAGAGGCAACGTACGCTTAAGGCAAATTATGAATCTCCCAACCTCTTCCAGCGAAAAAAAGGCGACAACAAGTAACAACTCTGAGGGAATAATATTCGACAACACATCACAAGTCTCCATGGGAGTAATCACACCAACACACCATCAGCTTTAAACGTCTCTCGGCTTGGCGGTCCAGCGGCCTTAACAGCCTTGGCCTTCGCTTGAGCCCGGGCGTAGCGAAATCTGCAAAGACGAATTAATCACTCCTCCGACTCGAATCGAACTATGGCCTTGACCAAAGCCACATCATTCGTAACTACCCAGGAGGCAGAAGGCGGCCATTTGGCGCGAAAAGCGGTCGTTCCGCTGCCACTCGTGGCTGCTGCCAAGGCTGTGAATGCTGCCATACCGAGGACGATGATACAGAGGTCGAAGAGGTGCTTGAATAGGTCCAGGGAAGGGCAGGAGCCTAACCAACAACACGTCGTCCCTCGTCCAGCCACAAGCTCATCGTCCCCACCGTAGTCGATACCGAGGAGGCCGCTATCTGTTCATACCAGCTAGCAGCCTGGCCCGACTGCTCCCACTCGGCCCTCTCATATCGACTCCTATGCCTGAGTAAACACCCTACCCCTCAGCCCTCCAGAACAGCCATTACCTCTGACCAGCAATGTGACCCTCTAGAGATGACCACGCCTGGGGCCGGGCATCACAAAGTGTACAATAAAAACAGTCCGGCCTCAGTTCAATGAATTTAGGTAGATCCTCCTGCTTAATTACGGGAGCGTTACCACCACTCCCACCCTCACCCGTCGGCACTACAGCTGCCGAAAGGTCCTCCTTAGAGGGCGACTAAAACACTCAAATTCGGCCCCTCACTTCAAGCCACTACAATACGTTCGTGAGCTGCATATCCTCAATAGCCTTCATTCGAGCTTCATCAGGTTGCATTTCCATCCACCTCAGATACCGTTGGTGCTTCTCAGACTGCAGATGGGTGCTCATAATATCAAAAGAAATACTCGTCTTCT